GCTCCTGGCGTCAGGACCAGGGACAGCGGCGGTGCCAGGGCCTCGGGGCGTGGCGCCGCACCCTGCAGTCCCCCCAACGAGTCGCTGCCCCCCCCAAGCCCACTTGGTCTTTTCTGGTCCTGGGCTGCGCTGGAGCTCGGTCCTCAAGGCCGGAATGGGGACCACGTCCAGACAGAGGAGCACTTCCTGCCTAGTAGTAGCTCCTGGCTGCGCCCTGGAGAGGTGCGTGTGCGTGTGTGTGTGTGTGTGTGTGTGTGTGTGTGTGTGTGGCCGGGTGGCCCTTTTCAGAAAAGTGGGAAATCAGGCTCTAAGTTGCCTGATCTTTTTGTAAAAATTAATTTTATTGTTAACATTTAAGGTATACGATATGACATTAGTCGTTGAAAATTTGCACCTATCTTGCTTATTTTTTCCCCAATCCCCTGCCCTCCCTTCAACCCCTCCACCCCTCCCTATCTACAAAGTGAGTTGCCTGATCTTTAAAACAGTCTGAGTTTCACGTGAAATCTGATTTTAGTGTGTTTTTTAATCCTGATACTGAGGACTGAATCCAGGGCGTTCCCATTGAGTTGCATTGGTATTTCACTATTATTTATTTATTTAAGGGTTTTTTGGGGGTTTTGTTTGTTTGTTTTGGTACGGGGATCAAACTTGAGTCTTTGCGCTTTTGAGGCAGTCAGCAGAACCATTGAGCTAAATCCCTAGCCCTATTTAAGGTTTTTTTAAAGACAGGGTCTTGGGCTGGGGATTTAGTTCAGCGGGTCTGCTGCCTCTCAAGCCCAAGGAATTCAATCCCCTGTACCAAAAAAAAAAAAAAAAAAAAAAGACAGGGTCTCACTATGTAGTTCCCAGTGATCCTCCTGCCTGGGCCTCCCAAGTGCTGGGATTACAGGTATGTGCTACTGCACCCAGCTGTTATTTTTGTTTTGTTTTTGTTTTTTGGTACCAGGGACCTTGTGATTTCAAGGCAGGGCGGTGGAACCACTGAACCCCGGCCCTACCCAGATGTCATTTTTGAGACAGGGTGTGATTAAATTGCCCAGTGTGGACTCAACTTTGCAATCCTCCTGCCTGAGTCTCAGAATGCTGGGGTGACATATGTGCACCATCACACCCCACTCATTCTATTTTGTGGTACAAGGGATTGAACCGAGGAGCTCATGCATGCCAAACAATAGCTCTTCTACCAAGCTGCCCTCCTAGCTAACCCCACTTTTTTTTTTTTAGAAAGTGTAACTGGGTTGCCCATATTGGTTTGGAATTTTCAATCCCTGTGGCTCAGCCTTAAAAATAGCTGGTGTTACTGGTATATACCATTGTGCCCAGCATTCATTTGATTTTTTTTTTTTTTTTTATTGTGTTTTTTTTTTTTTTTTGTATTGGGGATCAAATTCGGGTCCTTGCGCTTGCGAGACAGGCAGCAGAACCACTGAACCAAATCCCCAGCCCTAATTTGATTTTTAAATTATAAACTAGGGCTAAAGTGCAGTTTAGCAGCTCTTGGTCCAGGCCAGGAGTGAGTGGTAGAAGGCCTGCAGACCAAGGGTGACCCGTCCTTGTAGTGTCTCTCTTCCCACTTTCCTTCCAGTGTAGTAGGCATGGCAAAACTAATAATAAAATAAAACTTAAATTAAAAACTGGCAACCAAATTAAAACAAGTCAAGGGCCGGGGATTTAGTTCAGTGGTTCTGCTGCCTGCCTTGAAAGCGCAAGATCCCAAGTTCAATTCCCAGTACCAAAAAAATAAAAAAAAACAAGTCAACACAGTTCTGAGCGTCCATGCCCATCTAGCAGGAGTCTGGACCTCAAGATACACGCAGATGGCAACAGGAGTCATTCCAGGTCCTGGCCCCTCTGGTCTCTTTCCTGTGACCTTGACCCAGTCCTAAGCCACCCTAGGCCTCAGTTCTGTCTAGGAATCAGAGTTGGTCCTGGGGTCTAGGCAGAGCCTGAGTGTGGCCCCAGCCCTGTCACCCTATCCCAGCCTCTGAGGGCTTTTGCCTAAGTTCCCAGGGCAGAAGGCCCCAGGGATAAAGGTGGTGGAGTCCAGGGGAAGCCTCAGCAAGGGCTCAGAGGAAGAAGCAGCCTTTGTCTGAGGTGGGCAGGGCCAGGGCTGACGAATTTCTAGTGGCTACCAGTCCTGCCTTCCAGGCTGCACCCTGGATCTCCCCAGTGGTGTGGGATGAATCAGTGGGGAGATGCCTGCCCACCTGAGAGCCCCTCCACACCTAACCACTGCGAATCCTGGTGGTCAGGGCTGACCGCCGCGGTGGCTTCTGCAGGCTGCATGGGCCCGGCCCAGCTTGGCGGCCTGGCCTTGGGGACCCTCGCTCTTGCTTCAACAAGCTGAACCTGCACTCTCTGAGGATCGAATGAGTTTAACACTGTGGGGGCCAGGGAATGTCTGCCGGAGGTCAGGAGGTGGTGGATGCTGGAGGTCCTCCCAACCCTAACAGCCCTGCAACAGAGCAGGGAGGTGGCCCAGTGGCACAGCTAGGGAAGAGGAGGCTGAGCTTGCAAGGTGGATGGCCTGATATAGGCGGCAAGGACAGAGGGCAGGCGTGGGAGTCTGGGGTACAAGCACCTCCTACCCGGGCCCATCTCCATCCTCTTGTGCTCATTTTACTCCCAGCCCCTCTCCATGTCCACCCCACCCCACATACAGGGTCCCTCCGGGCTGCCCTGTGCTTGTGCTCAGTATGGACTTCCTGGAAACAAATCTGGGGTGTCAGGCTGATTTACGGGGCGCTTTTATTTTTGAGATCGCATCTACTAAGTAGTTCGGGCCAGCCTTGAATTCATTACATAGCCAGGCTGGACTCAAACCTGTGATGGCGCTCTTACCTCAGCTGGGATCACAGGTGTGAGCCATCACACCCAGCTTAGGTAAGGAATGATTTTATTTATTTATTTATTTATTGAGACAGGGTCTCACTATGAAGTTGAGACTGACCTGGAACTCACTGTGTAGCCCAGGCTGGTCTCGAACTCAGTGATCCTCCTGCCTCAGCCTCCCTACTGCTGGTATTACAGGCGTGCGCCACCACTCCCGGCTTCTGGTAAGGGATGATTTTAGAAAGGAATTAAGGTCGCCTGGAGCCCCTTGTTGTCACCTTTTCCTCCTCCTACACTGGAAGAAAGTGGGAAGAGAGACACTACAAGGACGGGTCACCCTTGGTTGCAGGCCTACCACTCACTCCTGGCCTGGACCCTCCCCACCTGTCTGTCCTCCATAGGGCGGAAACCACTTCCCCAACTTCCAGCATGTCCAGGGTCTCGCTAACATCATGGGAAGGGACAGAGGTGTTCTGTGAGGGTCCAGTCTGGAGGCCAGGCCTGAAGGGTTCTAGGGACCATTCCCTCCTCATCCTTGCTCTTACTTAGCGGTGCCTTGTCCCAACTTACAGGCCAGCCGGGTCCTGAGGAGGGGGGACCCCAGCATTAGGCCATTACAGCCATGTTACTCGGGGCCTCGTGAGCCACTGGCCTCATATCCTGTCTTGGGGGACACAGTGGCCCTGGTTGATGTGGCTTCCGTGGAACCACCCTGATGCACATGGCAGCATGGTCCATAGTGGCTGTTCCATGAAGACTCCCAAGACTCCCAGCCACACCGGGCGTGGTGGCGCACGCCTGTAATTCCAGCACTGGGAGGCTGAGGCAGGAGGATCCCTGTGAGTTGAGACCAGCCTGGGCTACATAGTGAGTTCCAGGGCAGTCTCGACTACATAGTGAGACCCTGTCTCAAAAAATAAACAAACAAAAAGACTCCCAGCCACCAGGACATACTCCATGGAGGAGACGTCAGCGGGAGGGTTTGAGGATGAAGCCGTTCCCATATAGCCACAGGGAGCTGTGTGGAGGCTGGGACCACTTGCTACTCAGGTGGGGACCCCAAGGGCAGAACAAGTGTCCTGTGTGCTGCCAGGCTGCCAGTGCTCAGCACGATCTCTGGTGTATTTGATGGGGGGCTGAGGCTGGACACAGCTGCCTGTGACATCTGAAATCAGCCTGGATCCCATCTGCATCCAGCACTCATGGCCAGCCAAGGGCTACTTGAGCTCAGGCCACAGACCTTCTGTCCTGTTTTTGCTCCTGAGCCCATCACCCACTACTGGTCCCATCCACACAGTCCCAGGGCTCATCTCAAGAAGAAGGGAGGTGGACAGCCACCACACGGCATGAGAGCTGACTCAGTGCCCGTGCCCAGAAGGCAGCTCCCTAGTCTCCCACAGGGGCCATCCTAGAGCCAGTGGTGCCCAAGCAGGGGGGCTGTGAGCTGCAGAGAGCCAGGGATTAGGGAAGGTGAGTAGGGACAGGTGGGCAGCCCCAGGACAAACCCAGGCAACCAACAGAGTGAAAAAAACAGATGTATTGGATTTACAATTAACAAGATTTACAAAAAAGGGTGAGGTGGTCCTGGTGGAGCTAGCCCAGGGGACCTCCAGGACAGCCTGTCTGACAGGCCGAGACCAGGACTTTCAGTCTTCTGGGTCCTCTTGGCCACCTGGGCCCCGACGTCTGACGTCCAGCTTGACCTTAGAGGTGGGGCCTGGCAGCCCTTGTGCCCCTTGGGGAGGCCATGTGAGGTCAGAAGGCATCGTACCGCTTTTTCTCCTTCTATCTGGCAGACAGGCAGATACTCAGTCCGGGAACTTGCCCTGGGGGCGGCCCTTGGTAGCCAAGCCCAGGGCATCCAAGGAGGCTGCTGGTGCTCGGGCAGGGGAGGCCAAGGCCCCATGACCCACAGCGGCCTGGCGTGGCTTTGTAAGGCACGTTTGGGAATCGCTCAGGGGAAGAGCATAGCGACGCTGGTGCCACAGGACAGCTGGTGCTGGAGCCCAGGCTGTATTGCTCTGGAGGAAGTTGCTACTGTCTACAGCAGGAGGTGGGCCTGCTGCACCCCACGCCCGGGGCCTCTCTGCCAGGAGAGAAGCAGGCTCAGCCACACCAGGTAGGCACATCCTGGGGGACCGCCCCCGACCAGGCACAGGCTTCACACACCTGTGCCCTGAGGCATCACAGCCGGCCAGAAGTCAGAGGTCAGTGACCTTGTTCTCCAGCGCAGCCGCGATCTGCTGCAGGCGGAAGGCCAGCTGCATCTTCTGGGAGGCAGGATCCTCCTCCAAGGCGTTGATGATCTGAAGGGGATACTGGTGAGACCCCAGGCCCAGGGAGGGGCTGCCCGTGTGCCCACCGAGGACCCAGACCCACCTCATCGTAGTACTTCTGAGTGTACTGGTAGAGCTGGTGCAGTGCCACTAGGGTGTTCAGGGAGTCCGTGTGTGCCTGGGGACAACAGTGTCGTCAGAATGGAGGGAGGAGCAGCAGGCAGCAACACAATGGCTGCACGATGGTGGCACAGCCAGGGCCACGCGCAGAGTGGGGGATGGGGCTCCGAGCTGCTCACTCTCCAGAGCTCAACCCCACACGTGCACTCCCTTCCTCACCTGCCTGGGCCACACACCCCTCCGCCCGCTCCCAGGTACCATTCAGCACCTCGCCCGGCCAGGCTCTGCTCACCCGGGAGATCTCAGCCAGGTGTGTGTTCATGTCCTGGTCACTGACCTGCACCATCTGACGGATCCCCTTGTAGTAACTAAAAGGAGCGGAACCGGGACAAGGAGGGCTAAAGGAAGCTCCGGCCAGGCCTGGGGGCCGCCCTGGGACCCCAAACCCCCACCAACCCTCCTCCTCACTGCCAGGGTCGACAGCCAGATCTGGTGGGGCGGTAGCACTCACTCCTCCACCATCTTCTTGTAGGTGGATATCTCCTTGGCATACAGCAGCTTGTTGCTGGGAGAGTCCTGTGGGGAGTCAGAGCTCAGTTATGCGGGGGCCCCCCGAGGCAGGTGGTGTGGCCCCATCCAGATTCCCACAGCTCTCATCAAGAAAACTACTTCCTTGCCGCCCCGCACCGTGTTGTGAACTGTGCCCTGTCCTGTCCTGTCCCTCTGCCCACGCTGGCCCTGCCCATCACTGAGCCCACTCACGCGGCTCAGCTTGTGCTCCGTGCGTGTGCAGGCGTCCATGAAGGTCTGCGCGATGACCGACAGCGAGGCGTCCACCACCTCGTGCACATGCACGTCGAAGATGAAGTGCGGGTTCTTCAGGATGTTCACCCAGAAGCGGAGCGGCAGACTGTGGGAGCGAGGGGTGAGAGGTGAGGGGCCACGAGGGCCAGGGCGGGCAGGCAGTGGGCACTAGGCCTCACACCTCACCTGTTGGTTTTCCAGATGTGGATGGTGTCCTCATCCCGGATGTCGTGCCGCTCGGCCTGCTCATCCAGGAAGTCAAAGAAGTACTTGACGGCAGGTGGCACCGCATGCCCAGGCGCCAGCACACTCTGGAAGAAGTTGTCCACGAACTGCTGCAGCGTGCCCTGTGAGCAGAGGCTCGGCATGACCCCCGCGGCATGGCTCCCGGCCTGCTGCTGTGCTCTCGCCCACTGCCTGCATCCCACCTTGACCGAAAGCAGCCTCGTCAGGTAGATCTCAGTGATGGCCTTGGTTCGCTCCTTCTCCTTCACACTGCCCCGCTTGGACTTGCCCTCCTCCACCTCATCGGCAGGCCGCACCAAGTGCCACACACGGTTCTCCTCCTCCAGCAGGGCGTGGCCTGTGGGAGGGGAATCTGAGGGATCCGCCAGGGCCAATGCCCAAGGGCAAGAGGTGGCTGGAGCCTGGCTCCTGAGGCCCGGGTCCCACGCTGGCCAGAAGCTCCCCAGTAGGTGGCAGCAGAGAGTGAACACAGGTCTCCCTGCTTTGGGGCAGGAAGGGAGGAGGGAGGAGGGAGGAGGGAGGAGCCAGGGACTCACGCTCTCCAGGCAGGTCCTGCTGGCTGTCCTCTGGCTGCTGGGAGACGCCCACCTTGGACAAGATGAGAGTGGCTCCGTCCCGGACCTGTGGACGCAGTCATGAGGCCAGGCCAGACCCCACCGCGTGGGGTCCTCGCCCTGTGGCCACCCCTCACTCACATTGTAATGCATCAGGGTGTTGATGCGCTTCCACCGGCCGTCCCTCTGTGAGGTCAGGTCCAGGTCAGACAGGATCTGAGCTGTGGACCCAGGGCGCCATTCTGTGGAGGATACAACCGGCTCCTGGGATCTTGGGACACACACTGTCCACCTGGGCTTCCCCTTGCTCCCCATCTCTGTCCCTTCCCGCACACAGCCGTGTCCAGGCAGCCTTGGCTCACGTGCATACCAAGGACCACACTGTCAGGCTTGGGCCAGCAGGAGCAGGGCTGCGTGCGGTACACCTGGTCAATGATCTTCTCCTTGACCTGAGAGATGGTGTCACAGTTGAGGACCTTCACTGGGATAGCATCAAGTCCTTCGTCCTGCACGATCACGCTCACCGTCTGCCAGGAAACGCAGCGTCAAGGGCTGGAAGTGGCCCTCACTCTCGCTCTCAGCCCCACCCAGGATGGCCCAGCTTCGTTCCTCCCGAGTTCAGCAGGGTGGGAGGCAGCTCTGGGGAACACAAGCTCACAAGTGCACACAGATACCTTCGTGCACACCCAGGATGGGGCTCTCAGATGAGAGACTGGCTCTCAGTCGGGACAGTTAACGTTCCCCTCTCCGAGGGAGTCTGAACCCACTGACCCGGGCCCTCCAGATCGCACCGTATGCACTGGCTGTCTGACAGTCGGCCGAGGCCGGGGCCTCGCACAGGGAGGCATGTGCCCTAGTACTGAGCCACATTTCCAGTCGCAATCTTCCTGGCCTCAGCCTCTGGGGCCGGGATAATGGGAGTGTGCCACCGCGCCTGGCACTCGCCTCTGGTCTTGGTGCTGCTGCTCCTGAACGCTCTCCCCTCATCACCCAAGCTGGGTCGGCCCATCTGACATGAGGCGGAGCCCACCCTTCGGCACAGCCGCCAGCCTGGGACTCACCAGAGGTGCATACTCCACGTCATCCCCCAGCAGCCCCGTGTCGTTGAGGGTGTACTTGGCCTTCTTCTGCACGGCATCCACCGGCCCCTTTTCCACCTGATGTTTGATGGCCTTAAAGAGCTTGTACAGTGGCTCACCAGCGCTATCCTAGAGCAACGAAGGGTGGTGGTGTGAGCCGGAGTGGGGGTGCCGTCCAGTGAGGCCGGGCCCACTTCAAGGCACTGAATGGTGAGGCGTGTATGTGCAGACACAGCACCTCCTCTGCCCACCACAGGGAGCCCACCTTGAGGTACTGGTACAGACAGATGGACATCCAGTTGGATAGCATCCTCTCCACCACCGTCTCAGACCTGGAGGCACAGCGAATCCAAGGCCCGTTAGCCCTTCCAGGCACCCACCTACATGCCGGCACTGGGGCCTCACCAGGACGCCCACAAGGATGGCCACGTGACCAGCAAGGACCGAGGGGCAGTAAGGGGTGGGCTTGGCTTCGTATCTCCCCACCCTGCACCCTACACACCTGCGCAGCATCAGCTTGGGATTCTTGGCCACCACGTACTGCTCCATGAGTTCTAGGAAGAGTGTGCGCATGATGTCTGTGTAGTACTCCAGCTTCCCGTGCAGCGCCACCGTCAGGAGCGACGCAAAGTAGACTTTGGCGCGGGCCGAGAACTCCCGCTGGTTCTCCAGGGTGTGGATGAACTGTGAGGGCGGCCGGTTACAGCTTGCTCTGGCTCCAACCCATCACAGCCTCATGGACCCCCTACTCCTGCCCACCCTGCCGCCCCACTCACGTTGATGAGGAAGGATTTGCTGTTGAGCAGGTTGGAGAACTGGTAGAGTGCCTGCTCCACCACGGGCCGCCGCGACTCGGGGATGTCCAGCTTGCCAGTGATCATGACGTCCTTGTCACCATCCTTGGAGGGCAGGAAGAAGACACGGTCGGTGTAGGTCTTGTAGTCCAGAGTGGGGATGCCTGCTTCGTGTACGTCATTTGTCTGGTCCTCCATCTCGATCATCAGGTCTAGGGGTGGGAGGCCAGGGTGAGGCGCCCAGCCCAGAGTGCCACCCTGGGGGCCACAGGGCACAGCGTGAGTGGTGAGGGCAGCTGGCAGCGCCCCTGGATACACACCTGTGAACTCCTTCTTGCAGCGGTCACGCACGCTCTCTTCCAAGCCCTCCAGCTGGGACTTGATCTTCTCGTACTCGCGCTCAGCCTGCTGGCTCTTCCTCCTGTGGGGTAAGGGTAGGCTCCTAGGTCCGCCAGGGTCGACATGAGGGCGCCCAGGTCCTGGAGGCTCTCAGAGCGCCAGCAAGGTGTGGGCAGTGAGGCCAAGGCAGCAAGGCGGGGGTGTTGCAGTTGCTGGGAGGACATGGCTCACCAGTAGCAGTAGACAGACACCACGATGACAACCACCATGGGCACAATGACCAGCGGCAGGATGAGGCTCAGTGGCACGTCACTGACACGCGTGTCGTACTCCACACGTCCCAGCACCCACTCTCTCGAACCGAACTTCACCTGCAGAGGAGAGAGCTCAGTGTGGGCAGCGCGGTGGGACAGACAGACCCCGGCTTGTGCCCCTGCCCATGGCCACACTCACAATGAACTCTGGCAGGTTGTGCGTTGTGTCCCGCTTCTGCCGGCGCTTGGGCGGGGGCTGCACCTCAGGGGGCTCGCAGTACAGGTCGGTCTCCGTAAGTG